ACGAAGTCGAAGGAGCCATCTCCGCCGCCTATTGCAATGTAATTTGTATGTGTATTTTCATTCTTTGGCCCCATCCCCATCCATCTCCACACGTAACATTTTACCTTCACCCTTATGTTTGCCGAAAAGGACACAGCGTTATGTTCACATCGCAATACGTGTAGCCTACATTGCTTTGCCACTGGGTTTCTTGTTGTAACACTCTGGCCATCGTCGTCGTCGTCATCCTTCACTGCTCTATTACCAATTTCGTTGTTGTTGTTGTAGTTATTTTTTGCTTCTCTCATGTCTCGACTGTCATTTCCTTAAAATGTTTACAAAAATATAATATTGTTGCTGTCGTATTTTTCGTCTCAGTGGTATGGTATGATGGGTATGCTGCAGCACGTTTTTACCATCATGTTCGTTTCGAACCTATCGAACCAACAGCACGTGACGTATGTAGGAGCTTATGCCAGTATTAGAAATAAAATTGTTTTCGATTTTGCCTCGTTTTACTTTCAATTACGCTCTCGCTCTGAGAGTCTCCTTTTTGTATCATATAAAGTCCTTGAAATCCTTGAGCCATTTAAAGTGTGTCGTATCTCTTAAATAATATAAAGAGAATGTAATGGTTTTAAGGAAAATAAATATAAATAATAAGGTGACCATACTGAAATCTTTCCAAGAAGGCAAATAAGGATTCAAATAAAAAAACGGAAAATACCGTATATAGGCCCTGAAAAAAACATCGTTAATAAATTAGGTAATTAAAAAATATTCTTTAATAAATAAACACCTTGAAGGGTCTCTTAAAAACTATTCTTAAATAAATCATGGCTTTGGAAGGTATTTTAAAAACAATTCTTAAATAAATCATGGCTTTGGGAGGTATTTTAAAAAATATTCTTTAATAAAACCACGCCTTGGAGGCGTCCCTGAAAAATATTCTTTAATAAAACCACGCCTCAGTTGGCCCTTGAAAAATATTCTTTAATAAATCCACGCCTCAGTTGGCCCTTGAAAAATATTCTTAAATAAATCCACGCCTTGAAGGGTCTCTCAAAAAATATTCTTAAATAAATCCTCGCCTTGGAGGGTCCTTCAAAAAATATTCTTTAATAAATCCACGCCTTGGAAGGTCCATAAAAAATCTTTAACAATCCACGCCTTGGAAGGTCCATGAAAAAAATCTTTAATAAATCCACGCCTTGGAGGGTCTCTCAAAAAGTATTATTTAGTAAATCCATGCCTTCGAAGGGTCTCTCAAAAAATATCCTTGGAGTATCTCTCAAAAAATATTCTTGAATAAATCCGTTTTGGAGGATCTCTCAAAAAGTATTCTTTAATAAATCCAATATTGTTTAATAGATCCACGCCTTGAAGGGTCTCTAAAAATATTATTTAATAGATCCACGCCTTGAAGGGTCTCTAAAAATATTATTTAATAGATCCACGCCTTGACGGGTCTCCCAAAAAAATATTCTTTAATAAATTCACTCCTTGAAGGGTCTCTCAAAAAATATTGTTTAATAAATCCATTATATTATATTATATTATATTTTTTACTTATAATTATTAATTTTATTATATTATATTAACGCTAATTAAAAAACGCTTATGACCAATTCACATATGCCACTCAAACGTGACTTCTTATGTGACCCATCACTTGTTGAATGACTTCCCGTGAATGACATTTGCCTTCCCCTTCCAATCATCCCAGTAAATTCATTATCAATTTGCGCAATAAAAATTCTTCGCTCCGATCAAAATAAATTCCATTACCAATTACAGCGATAAGAAGTGGGCGCATTGCATTTATGAATTACACTTCGAATTTGTTTTCGCATTCAAAACCAGATTCCAGATTTAAAATTCTATATTTAAATAATAGGCAGAAACAACATTAAAAGTCAAACTCACATATATAGGTCAGCAGGTTATCACAATCATGAAAGAGAGACGGCGTCGGCGAACTGATAAGTCTTTATTGAGATTTAACTAGAACTAGAAAATAAAGGGGTATATTTTTGTGCAAATTCAGTTCAATATTCGCATTGGGACACCTTGAAAAAAAATTGCTCACAATAAAATGAAAATATATGTTATTTATATTAAGAAGGGAATAATGAAATATTAAATACACCGATTTTAATAATTACTGATTGTATATAAATGTTTTTTTTCGAATCGGTATCGAATGTGCATATTAGCATCAATGTGCTCGTGACAATGTATATGCATCAGAGTTAGAATAAAATATTTGCGTAATTGCTGCGTTAATTGAGGAAGAGGAAATTTATGCCTAGGAAGCCGAACATAGTAGGAAATATATTCAGAATTCTTGAAAATTATAATTTTTTATATGATTTTTGAGATTATAAAATTTATTAAAACATATTTCTTCTAAAAAAATATTTTTTCGGGACCTTCCATGGCGTGGATTTATTAAAAAGTATTTTATTATCGACCATCCAAGGCGTGGATTTATTAAAGAATATTTTTTCGGGACCTTCCATGGCGTGGATTTATTAAAGAATATTTTTTCGGGACCTTCCATGGCGTGGATTTATTAAAAAGTATTTTATTATCGACCAACCAAGGCGTGGATTTATTAAAAAATATTTTTTGATTTTTTAAAAAATATTTTTTGTGGACCTGTTTATTTTTTTACCGACCATCCAAGGCATGGACTTATTAAAGAATATTTTTCCATAGACCATCCAAGGTGTGGATTTATTAAAGAATATTTTTCCATAGACCATCCAAGGCTTGGATATATTAAAGATTTGTCCTATAAGTGTACTAAAAGTACTAAATATTACTAAATTTAGTTCTAATTGTATATTTATTGAACATATATAGCTAGAATCTTGAAATTATACGGAATAAAGGTTGGGAAGTGGTGTTGATGTGCGGAAATGGTTTAAGAAATTCGTACTTATGTGTATAAAAAGTACAAAATGGTACTAAATTTAGTACTATTTGCATTTAGTTTAGTGTATAAATATGGACTCCTGAAAATCGGAATTAAGACTACTATTGGAGTACATTATTGGGGTAGATTTAAAAAATTGTACTTATGTGTACGAAAAGTACCTAATGGTACTAAATTTGGTGCAAGTTAGATTTAGGTGAACAGATAGAGCTGGAGTCTTCAAATTGGAATTTAAATGACTGTTGCAGTGTAGGATTGAGATAGTTTTGGAGATTCGTACTTATTGGTACGAAAAGTGCTAAATGATACAAAATTTAGTACATTTTTGATTTTGCTTGAACGGTTAGAGTTGAAAACATAAAATTTGGAATTCAGATTACTGTTGAAGATTGAGCTATAGAGACATCTTTAAAAATTCGTATTGATGTGTACGAAAAGTACTTAATGGCACTATAATTGGTACAATTTGGATTTGGGTGAACGGAGATAGCTGGAAACCTAAAATTTGGAATAATGGTTGCTGTTGGAGTATTGAATTGAGATACGGAAGCATAGTACTTATGTGTACTAAATGGTACTTTATTTTGTACAACTTGATTATGTGTGAACGAATTGAGCTGGACTTTAGAATTTTGGAATAAAATAGTTTAGAAATTGTTTTTGTAAGAGCGGATAGGGCGGAGATCCTGAAATTTTGAATTAAAATTATAGTTGGAGTACAAGATTGAGATATGTCGGTAGTTTTGAAATTTCGTCTTTATGTGTGCTAAATTTGGAACAATTTAGATTTAAGTGAACGGATAGACATGAAAAACTTATGTTTGGAATGAAAATTTTTGGAATTTCGTACATATGAATACGAGAAGTACTAAATGGTACTAAATATGGTACAATTCGTTTTGTTTGAGCAGGAATCCAAAAAATTGGAATTAAAATTATACTTGGAGTGTAGGATTGGGACATGGAGGTAGTTTAGGAATTAAGGTAGTAGTTTAGGAAATTCGTACTTATGGGTACGAAAAGCACAACATTTGTTACAATTTGGACTTTGGTTAACGGGTAGAACTCGAATCCTGAATGTTGCAACTTAGGTTACTGTGGGAGTGTATGATTGATATAGGTTTGGAATGCGGATACAGAGTGGTACGAAATCTGGTACATTTTGGTGAATAGACAGAGCTGGAATTCTTAAATTTGGACTTACGATTGCTATTTGAAATCAGGTTTAGAATATTAAGATAGGTTTGGAATGTGGGTACGAAAAGTACAGAATGGTACCAAATCTGGTACTATTTGGTTTTTAATGAAGAGGCAGAGCTACAATTCTTAAATTTGGACTTAGGATCACTATTTGAAAGCAGGATTGAAGTACATTTGTAAATTTGTACTTATGAGTACAAAAAGTACTAAATTTGGTACAATTTGGACATTGGTGGGATTAAGATTGTTGTAGGATTGATGAAGTTTTAGAAAAGTTTACTTATGAGCATGAGAAGTTCCAAATGTGAAACAATTTGGATTTGGTTGAATCCTGAGATTTCGGACAATAGAAACTCAAATTTTAATGTAATAAATTTAAAGTAATTTAAATAGAAAATGCTCTAAATTTGAAATGTGGTTTACTGACAGAAAGTTAGAAAGAAGTTTTTGGTATTAACTGGTACTGAATTTAGTGGTGGTGATGAGGATCAGTGGCGACATTTGAAACTATAGTCTTCCCTGCCTTACCCCTCGGCGGACACATACACAAATAAAAAGTTGTTTTTATAAAAACAACAAATCACTCTCATTGCGGAAATATGTAAAAAAATATCAAACGTTTGAGTAAAAAATTATTGTGGTGTATTAATTAACCAATTTGTATTAGTAGTGTCAGGCTGACTATTTTGCAAAAACAAAAACTTTTTTGTATTCCCTTTCCGCACACGAAGTAGCGGGCATTTTCCTAGTTAAAGAATATTCTTATAGAGACCATCCAAAGGGTGGATTTATTAAAGAATATTTTTCCATCTAAACTATGAACTATATTTTACGACTTACTGTATAATATTGTTTAAATTTAAAATTCTTGTTCGTATTGATGTGTGTTTCATGTTATTATTTTTTCTATTCGTTTATAGCGTGTCTGGAGGAAGATTGCATTGATTTTCAAGGTAATTCTGTGAACCACGGCATGTTGTATGTACCGGGGCCAGGAGTTTGCAGTTTGTGTGTTTGCTATCATTCGGAGCCATTGTGGTGCAAAGCGATTTACTGTGATCCGCCATATGTAAGTTGACGTTTTTTTAATTCTTATAAATTACCAAAATATTTCCTGAACAACCACAACCATTAAAAAATGTAAAAATTTATTCAGTAAAATAAAAAAATATATATCGAGATATAATTTGGAACCACTGTCTATCTATTCGTCCAATCAATAGTACTAGTTATAGTATTTGCCTACTCATAGGTGATTCATACGTCATTTATCGCATGTTCGACTTCTTGTGACTGTGTTTATTTTTTCTATTCTCTTTTTTTAGTTTTGCAAAAATTTCCGTGTTGGAGAAAGGTGCTGTGAGTTTGAATGTTTAGATCCGCCCGGCGAAGATAATAAATATCAGGTGAGTTTAAAAGGGTTAATTTACGGGATATATGTTTTTGAAATGCAATACATGTATTTAGTAAATTCTTTGCAGCAGGAAATCAATGATAGTATCCTTTAATTATAAATGCTAAACATAGTAATTATAGTATTCATGGTTAAGATATCATGATATGGTTATGACAGTTGATAATGGAACTAAATAGAATATGAACAAATGTTCGTTGCCAATTCGAATTAAATATTATTTAAACAGGGCATTTTATCATATGGAATTGAACTTCGTATATGGGGTTGAGATACGCGTGTGATTTTGGAAATTCGAACTGAAAATTTGAAAAATCGGAATATCCGTAGAGATCGTACAATTTTGCTGTCGGCTATGAGTCGTTTATCTGGAAAGTAATTTATGTCCATTTTACATTCTGATACAAATCTTGGTTCTCTAGAAAGGTTTACAAAATATTTACGTTATATATTCTACCATATTTAAGGGCAAAAAATCACAAACAAAGTTAATAACACCCTTTTCTTGACGCAAATCAAACCCAAACATTTAAATATCTCAATATGAGAAAAAATGGACTTAAACTACTTTCAAAATAAACGACCCATACACATCTTATTTTTGTTTTATCTAAATACCAGAAAATCGGCACCCATTTCATATTTTATGAGATTTATACAGGAAAGGAAAATCGTTACCATTCGAAAAAGAATTGGAAATTAGAACTACAAGTATTCGAAAAGTACTTAAATGTACTAAATTTGGTACAATTTCGTAGCATGTGAACGGATAGACCTAAAAATTTGAAATTTGAATGAGAATCAAGGATGAGAGGTAGGGTCGATTTCAGAAGGTGGTTTCGCAAGTGTGTAATCATGTATACGAAAAGTACTATATGGTACTATATTTGGCACAATTTTAATTATGAGGTACAGATGGAGCCAAAATTCTAAAATAAAGAAAGTCTTGATCATTCGTGTCCAAGAAGAATTGGAAGTAAAAACTATAATTATCCGAAAAGTACTTAAATGTACTAAATTTGGTACAATTTCGTAGCATGTGAACGGATAGAGCAAAAATCTTGAAATTTGGACTCAAGAATCAGGAAGTTCAATTCCATAAGAATCAAGTTGAAAAGTATGGTCGATATAAGGAGGTGGCTTTTGGAAGTGTGTAATCATGTGTACGAAAAGTACTATATTTGGTACAATTTTAATTATGAGGTACGGATGAAGTCGGAATCCTAAAATTAACATTATCGTCAGAGTGTAGGATTGGTATATGTACATAGTTTTAGAAATATTTTACGTATGTGTACGAAAATTACTAATCGTAGTATAATTAGTACAATTTGGATTTGGGTGAAACGATAGAGCGGAACACTGAAATTTGGAAATGAGATAACTGTTGGTTTGTAGAATTGAGGTATGAATGTAGTTTTGGAAATTCATACTTATGTTTACTTATTTGGGGTGAACCAATAGAGGTGGAATCCTGAAATTTGGAGTTAGGATCAATGTTGTAATTTATGATTGGGGCATGTATGAAGTTTTGTGAAATTCGTACCAATGTGTACTAAATTTGGTACTATTTGAATTTGGTGTGCGAATCCTGTTTACTAAATTTGGTACAATTTAAATTTTGGTTGAATTGATAGTGCTGGAATTTTGAAATTTGTAGGATATTATATGGTCGATCTTGTCCGACTGTGGTTCTTTCCTTACTAGTTTTTATACAGGTACAGGGTATTATGTCGGTGTGCATATGTTTGTAACAGGCAAAAAGAAACGAGATAGACACAGGGTTCCTTTTGAGAATATGCATAGAATCAGTTTCTAAGTCGATTTATGCATGTCCGTCCGCCTGTCTGTCCATGTTAAATTGTAAACAAAGTGCAGGTCGCATTTATGATCCGATTTGGATGAAATTTGGCAAAGCCCACTCATTTGGCTCAAGGACGAACTCTATTGAAATTGGAAAAAATCGGTTCAGATTTAGATATAGCTCCCATATGTATTTCGTCAGATTTAATGTAAATAATGCACCAAAGTCTCTATATATCTTTCAATTTGCACGAAATTTGACATAGCGTACTCAATTGAGACTAGAATGATGTGTACAATTTCTTAAAAATCGGTTCAGATTTAGTCAGAATGGTGTATGTTAAATTTCCTGTAAATCGGTTCAGATTTAGGTATAGCTCCCATGTATATTTTCGTCCGATTTAAGGAAAATGGTGCATTAAAGTGCCTATATATCTTTCGATTTGCACGAAATTTGGCACAGAGTAATGAATTTGGTCTACAATGATGTGTGTTAAGTTTCTTGAAAATCCGTTCAGATTTAGATATAGCTCCCATATATATGTTCGTCCGATTTTTTTGTATGATTTGCACGAAATTCGGCACAGTGTACTGATTTAAGTCTAGAACGTTAAATTTTATGAAAATCGGTTCTGATTTAGATATAGCTCCCATATATATTTTCGACCGATTTTATGTAAATGGGGACCAAAGTCCCCATATATCTTTCGATTTGCACGAAATTTGGCATAGTGTACTGAATTAGGTCTAGAATGGTGGGTGTTAAATTTTCTGAAAATCGGTTCAGATTTAGATATGTCTCCCATATATATTTTCGTCCAATTTAAGGGAAGTGGTGCATTAAACTACCTATGTATCTTTCGATTTTCACGAAATTTGGCATAGCATACTGAATTTACTCTAGAACTATGTGTGTTAAATTTCATGAAAATCTGTATTTTTCGTCCGACTTTATGTAAATAGTGCACCAAACTTCCTTTATATGTTTGAATTTGCATGAAATTTGACATAGCGTACTGAATTGAGTCTAGAATGTTGTATGTTACGTTTTCGGAAAAATTGGTTCAGATTTCGATATAGCTCTACATATATATTGCGTTTTGTTGAAATTGGTGCAGATACAACCATAGTCTCAATATGTTTTTCGAACGGGTGTCTGAATGAGATTAAATTTATAACAGTGCGACGTATCGTTTTCCATAAATTTGTTCCATGGTACGCAGACGACTCAAAATCTGCCCAAATGAAATTAAATTTAGCATAGGTTGCAGAAAGGCATGAGTATATTCCTTCGAGTGCACATTTATATGCAATTGTAAGGATACATATGTACAATGACCCAAAGTGATGAAGGGTATCATATAGTCGGCCGACTTTACTACTTTCCTTACTGGTTTTATACCTATGTCTGTCCGTCCGTATTTTGTAATCATTTCTGAAGGAATTTAGATAGGATGCTGAAATTTTGCATTGGGTTGTCTTTTGCCTGCAGGCGATCAAGTTTAAAATGAACTATATCGGTCCACGTTTAGGTTAGCCCCCATACGTGGGCATTCCAAAATTTTGTATTTTAGGGTTCTGGAGCGCGTTTTTCAACCAATTCGGCATATTGGGTTCTTTTTGAGTAGCAAATATCTCCACGAAAAATTATAAATATTGGTCCACTTTTTCTGGTAGCCCTTTTTGGGGTTTTGAGCGTATTTTCAACTGAGTTAGCTGTAATTAGGTACTTTGAGTTCGTATTGGATAGCAAAACTCTCCAACAAAAAGTATAAATATAGGTACGCGGTTTTCAACCGAATTCGGTATTTTGTAGTCGTAACAATAATAGTAACAATTTGATAACAATAATCGCCTTTTTATATTAAAATAGTTAACTGATTTGGTCTGCGTTTTGGTATAGCCCCAAATATAACTTTGTCATGTAAATTGCAGTACTTTTTTAAGCGTGCAATAACAATATCGGACCAAGATTTATGATTTTGAGATTTTAGGAAAAATCCTCATTACAACAATATCGTGGTAAAATTGTCGGTATTGGTCACATATCGGCATATTTTTTTATTTCTTACTTTATTCTCTTGAGGTGGGAAATGTCACTGCTAATAAATGACAATACCCTATGGTGAAAATATTAGGAATTTAATATTAATATTTTTGACAGTTATTTAATGTTTCTGGTCGACAGTAGTTTATGTAATTACTTTTACTTATTTGTAATATGTCCTATATAAAATTCCCTTCCATTTCTGTTTACAACGCAATATTATAGTTCCACGTGGGGTTGTAACTTTAATTACAAGTAACTGTCAGTATACCTATGGTGGAGGGTAGCCAAAGTTCGGCCCGTCCGAACTAACATCTTGTTTATTCTGATTTTAATAATTAATTTATTTTTATTCAAATAAGTCTGGCGCAATCCCAGTTTGACGATTTTTTTTTAATTTAAAATTTGTTTTTATTCTTTAATATTATTTTATTTTCAGTAATTTGATTTAATATTTTTTTTGAAAATTTATTTTGTTAACGATGTAAGTTAAAAAACAATTCAATTTCTGATATGACTGGCATGTTTTGTAAAGCCTTCATTACAGGCAGTCAAATTACTATCCTAAAACTATCTCTGTTTCCTATAAAATTAACCATTTCAAATTTCTAGCCGTGGTCATATAGCCGTGGCTATAAACTGACAAATAATATAGAATAAATCTGTAAATCCTCCTCGGCATGAGCATGAGATAATATTAAAAATAATAATTTTTATTACAGTTTATTTAATCATTTCTAATATTACTTTATTTCCCTCCTCCCCACCAGGAACGCATGCGCAAACGAGCTGAAATCTTAGCTGGCAATAGTACGGCCACAACAACTCTATCACCATTGGCCGTGTCGACATTGATTTTAACATTTCTGGGAAATTCATTGCTAAACTTATAACTTGAGCCAAATAAAAATAATTAATTATTTAAACCAACAACTATATATAATAATATTAAATATTAAATAACTTAACAATTATTCTTAATTAGATAAATGCAAAATTAACAAAAAAGAACAACAACAATGAAATCTATGTAAAAACCCCAAAAATGAAAATATTTACAAAATCTCTAAGAAAAAAACCCTAAACACTCAAATTCAAATCAATTAAAACGAAACAATTATTTAATGAAATTCATTAAAAGAAAACCAAAAAAAGAAAAGAAATTATTAGTGATAGTTATTAATAAATAAATTTAAACAATAAATATAAATAAAAAACGGAACAAAGAAACAAACAACAAAATATTGCAATTAGCACATTTTTTTATAACTAAATATAAATACAAAAATAAAAAAAATCAAACTTTATAGTAAAATAAAAATGTCATTCTTAATAAAAATAAAACAGAATGAAAAATCAATATCTATTTTTAAATTCTTCAAATATAGTTTAATTGAGAAAAAAAAATAATAAAAATTATATAAAGAAAAATAGACAAGGCCATCAAAACAATAGTAATCATATCCCATAGTAAAATTTAATACTATAGTTTCAATTTTCTATTGGATGCTCACCTATGATGTTCTTTACTTTCAAAATTCTATAGAAAATAATTTACCCCTAGAAGAGATTCTTTCTATGGAAAAATATATTTTTGGGATGAAAATGTTTTCTATAGAATTTGTTTTTATGTATCGAAACTCTTCTATGTAAAAAGAAAAATGTGTAGAAAGACTTCTATGGATCGAAGATTTTCTAAAGATATAAACACGCCGAGGTAGAAAATGACTATGTGATCCCTTCTATGATTCGAAACCTTTTATACTCAGAACTTCTACCAGACTTTATATGTTACAAAGACCACATATACAAATAAAATCTCCTAGAGGTAGAGGAGCTTCTGAACATTTTATATTCTTCTCTAGATAGAAAACTCTACTACTCTAGGAGGTCTTCTATACATATATAGAATGCTACTTTAGACAGAAAAAACTTGTAGAAATGCTCTTAAAATCGAATATCTTCTATAGAACAGAACAAATTTAATGAATATTTTCCAATTTTGTTTATTTGTTCCATATTTTACTTGTATTCGCTTAGAATACGAGTAAAAATTCTTATAATCATAAGAAATCCACTATTTTTGATAAAAAATTTAAACATAACAAAACCATTCATTCTTTGCTCTAATTTACCACTATTTGCGCTCATTTTGTCTGCTATCTTTTGCAGAAATATAGTTTGGCTGTGTTTTGTTTTGTCTTCTGTCTCTTCCTTCACTAGGTGGTTGTTAGTTTTGCAACGGTTTGTTTGTCTCCTCTTGTTTACAACCGCGGTCTCTCCACTCACTTGATTGAGGCCTGTTTTGCTTTTCATTGTTTCTTTATTTCAGACACTGATACCGGCCTCTTCAATGGATAAAATTCGCATATGTATTTTCCAAATTAATTCGATATAAATGTCAAATACAATATAACAAATAATGGGTCGATTACGGAGGTAACCATAATTTAGTGGGGTTGCCAAATTTGAATTATGGAAGGCAACTGTTGTCAACTTCAGTTGCTTCAAATAGATTTTTTCGGAATTTTTCTGGTTGCTGTTTAGTAGTGTTTAGTAACAAGAACTGAAATTTGGTTGGAATAATGGTTAAAATTACTACAAACTAAGTAAAGAAGAGTTTCTAGAAGATTTTCTGCAGATCGAAGATCTTACATAGGTAGAAAATCTTCCAGAGTTAGAAACATTTCAAAGATATAAATGATTTTCTATGTCTGGAAGTCGTAGAAGGACTTCTAAAGATTTTCTACCCATAGAAGGGAAAAAGAAATCCATTATGAAGAAATTATCGAAGTTGACCGGCATGTTAGCAGTCGTAACATCGCCCAGGAGCTAAAAATCGACCATACAACTGTTTTAAACTACAGTATTTTTCGGTTAATTGCACATCAAAATTTGCACGAATTTTCGTTCAATTAACCGAGGAACCAATTATCCGAACTCCGGTGGTCAAACCAGGACTAACGGCCAAGAAAGTTCTGCTATGCATTCGGTGGGATTGGAAGGGGATTATTTATTATGAGTTGTCCATAGAAAGGAACCTTATGTAAATGAAAGAGATTCTAGAATACTTTATATCATTCGTAGAAAACCTTCTATTGATCTTCTAGAAATAAAGGAGATTCTAGAATACTTTCTATCATTCGGAGAAAACCTTCTTTTGATCTTCTAGAAGATTTCCAGAGATAGAAGTATACATTTGGATCAAATATGTAAATGATTCTCTATGTCTGGAAGCTTATCTACCCATAGAAGGACTTCTAAAGATTTTCTACCCGTAAATTACCTTATATACAGTGCTGCTCAAAACATTTGCATCCCAGTCATCTGCGGGGCAAAACACCCAACTTTATTGAAATAAAAAATTTTTAAACAAAGTTTTAAATGCTAAAATATTCCATATTCAGTCGTTTATAAAATATTAATTTCATATCAACTTTTTATTGTAAATTTACAAAATAAGGTGCTCAAAACATTTGCAACTTATACTATGTGTCACCTATATTGGAAAAATATTTTTGTTAGTAGGGGAGACTGGGGCACCTTCGGCATCGGGGCACCTTCGGCAATCGCGTTTTCGATATGAAGCTCTCACCGTACATCACTAGTTTCGATACATAGGAATCGAATATCGAAATAAATAACTGACACAAAGTTTGAAATTTCTAGCTAATAAGCTTATTTAGATACATAGGTTTTTGTATTTTTATACATGTTTCTGCAATATTTCAATTCCATTTCGTAAGTATTTCGTGTATAAAACTTTTTAAATTTGTAAGACAATATTATTAAAAAACGGTTAACTACGATGAGTATTATTATAAAAATATTTAAAAATATAATGTTTTTACAAATCTGATCAAAAAAATGAAAAAAACTATAAAAAGTACATTCGGGGTACATTCGGCATTTAAAGTGGGGCGCATTCGGCCATATACAGATTGTGCAATATTATTTCCTTAAAATGTTTTTGAGTTTGTCTTTAAAACTAATGCTTTAATATGGCTCGAAATTGCATATATAAGATCAAACGTGCTTGTATTGCCGGAAATGCGATAGAAAACCCCTATTTCTGATGGTGTGTGCGACCTTGAGATGTAAACGTCCGTCGCTAGAAAATAAAGCCCTATAATTCAAACATTGTGTGGCGTATTAAAACCAAATAGAGCCTTTAGAGGATCAGAATTTCAACCAGACTGATAGCGATGACAATTACCCGGCTATGACTATGGCGCCGAATGTGCCCCATCAAATACCGAAGCTACCCCGGGTTGGGGCACATTCGGCGAATTTGACTTTTTTTACAAAACTGTAAAATTTGTTAACTAATACTATTTTTTTATATCTTTTCGGTACAATTTTTTATAATTAAGAGTCAGAGGACAATAATCAGCCATAAAGTTGTTATATATGTTGAATAAGTACTGAGATATAGAGCTCTAAAAAAAAAAGTGCCGAAGGTGCCCCAGTCTCCCCTAATATAAAGCATAACCACGTCGTTTAATAACATCTGCACATCTTCGTGGCACGGATTGGATTATATGATCAACTATGTCGTTTATGTCCCTCTGATCATTCAGGACAACATAGAAATCCGCATTTTTTAAAAAAATTATTTCCAATATTTCGTTAGACAATTTCCCAAAAGTTTCTATATGTGATTTAGATCAGGTGACTGAGCAGGCCAATCAAACACACATAGTTTTTAGAAGATATTCTACGGAAAAAAGAACTATAGGTAAAAAAAACTTACATAAATGGAAGACCTTTTGAAATTGAAGTCCATCTATAATAAGGAGATATAGACAACAAAATCTTTAGTTCTTTTAGAAGTCATTTCTAAAATACCTCCAAGAGATTTAAGTACCTTCATTTGAAAACGTCTTCTATATGTACTAAATATTTCTCCTCAAATAGAAGACATCCTCGGAACGAAAGACCATTAAAGACAGAATAAGAAGACGTTTAGAGGCGTTTTTTGAATCGAAAGTCATTGAATATTTTCTGTTGCTATAAATGAAAAAAAAACTTCTAGAAGACCTTCTTCAAAAAAAAATATTTTCTATTAATACAACCCTTTAGATATATTTATACCCTTTCATAACATTAAATAGTATCGAAATGTATGAAAAACATGATAATAATTTATTTCTATAATAAGAAGACGAAATAAATAATATCGTATATATTATTTAAAAATCACTCGAAAAACAAAAAAAAAAATAAATAATAATCAACGAAGTGTAAACAATAAAAATATATAAATAATTTCCATGAAGTGGAAGGCTAATCGTAAGAGAGTTTCCTTGTTGGATAATTGTGATCTTTATGTACGATCTGTAGCCTTCCATTCTTGTGAACAAAAATAAACAAATTCCATAGGCTCTATAAGGCTACAAAAAACAACAATAAAAACAAAACTAACTACAAACCCACATACTGATGCCACTCTATCTTCCTCCATGTCTTATTCAAAAGAAAAAAATATAATAAAATTAAATAAAATAGAAACTCACAAACACAAATTACCTTAACAATCATATATGATGTATACTATCTAGTTAAATTAATTTTTTTATTATTATTAAAAATTCTAATAATTTAATAAGTAAGCAAAAACAGATATATAATAAAAATAACATAACAATATATATATATATATATACATCCATATATATTTACATTATACAAAGTCATCTGTCATAATGATGAAACTACTCAAAGTACCTTTTTTTAAATTGTCAAATATTTTCGGGTTTTCCCAATTTAATAAGAAGAAAAAAAATACAGGGTGAGGCGAAAAATAAACAACCCTTTATAAATACCGTATTTTTTCTTCTATAATTAAATTTTCTAAATTTTCACAGGTTTTTAAATTTTATTTCGTGGACATTTTTATAGC